ATGCAAACACACACACTTCTTTTCTTACATACACACAGAAACACAATGCATCTCATGCACACACATACAGACACACACCTTGCATCCCTTATGCATACAAACACAGATTCACACAATGCATCCCTTACACACAACCAGAAACACATAATACATCCCATATACACAAATACACACTGCTTCCACTACACACAAACACACTGCATCACCTGCACAAACTGGTAACCCTAAACACTACATACCATAAGCACACATATTAGATCCTCTACAATAACACATAACACATCCCCTACACACTCCACTCCCTGTGAGCGAACTCGTGGGTGGGTGGGACTTATGAGTGGGCCTTATGGGCATACTCACCGTCAGGCCCTGGGGCCCAGACTTTGAGCTGTGTAAGGGGCCCCAAAAAAATTGAGCTGCTTCCAATTCTCCCAGAACATTGAATTTTGTGACCACAGTTGCAAACAGCCTCCAGAGATCCTGTTCTACACCAGACCAGTGGAGCCAAACTGCAACCCATCATCATCCTCATCTGCTTGTAAGTAGGCAATCTAGTATATTATTAGTGACACTAATCTATAATTTACCTCACATTAAAGGGACACTATAGCTTAATGAAGTAGTTCTGGTGTCTATAGCTGGTCCCTGCAGGCTTTTTAATGTAAACACACACTGTGTGCAGCACTGGCGTTAGTTCATATGGGTGGGGCATTGTGATGTCACATGGGGGGGCAGCAAATTTTTATTTTGTCTAGGGCGGCAAAAATCCTTGCACCGGCACTGATCCTGGGCAGGTGCACCAGTCTACTGGTGACCCACAGGAGGGGAGTGCACTGATTGCACTGCACTCTCCTCCTGTCCAGCCCCATCTTTACCGCAGTGCAAGTGCCCTCTGCCCCTAATTTACAGTGGCTCACACTCACAACAAGCAGTGCCTGGAGCCGTGAAGGAGCGGGTATGGCAAAGAGCTACTGATTAGCATAACATCAATATCCGTTATAAAACCAGGAAAAGGTGGGCATGGATGGTGAACTGATTTGGTGGTGCAATGGGCCACTTGACTGGTTTTGCCCCCCAGGCCTAAGGCTGCCAGCCCTCCCCTGCTAATTCTAATCCAATTATTTCCAAGCACAGAAAAAAAAACATACTTTACTAAAACACCCAACAATTACCCTAAAAATACATAAAACCCCACAAATCTTACATCCCCTGATAGCTCTGATCTGGGTGACCAACATATCATAAAATCGTCCAGATCAGTTCAGGGGTTCAGGAATTTCCTGGAAGTCATTTATTTGACCGACTGTAGGCATGGTCCCATAGCCGAAATAGTTCCATAGAATCACGGCTAAGTGTCGCTGGGGAACTGACCGGGAACCGCGAAGTTTTCATGCCAAAAATAGTTCCAGGGCATTCGTGGCTAAGTCCCCCTGAAGTATATTTGCGGTTTTGGTCCATGCGAACAAGATGGCAGCGATCTCTGCAGCACATTCTAAGTGTGCTTTAAGCGCATTTATGTGACATATGCGTCGGGTCTGAGCTTGAGCTCCCTTGACAATTACATAAATGGTCTCCCCCCTTCATTCTACAACCTCAAAGGGTCCTTTCCAGGCAGACGATAGCTTGTTCTGCCTAGTGGGCCGTACCATGAGTACCCGCTGTCCTGAACTCTCGGGGCTTGGCATGTTGGTCATGGTGGGTTTTCTGTCAGAATTTCTCATGGGCTAGTCCCATCAATTGTTTGAGTTTCTCCCGGAGCTGGACGACATACATGATAGCGGGAGTCTCTTCAGGATCACATTTCCCTTTCCCAGTATTCTCTCAGTATATTAAGGGGTCCCCGAACTCTGCGTCCATACAGCAGTTCAAAGGGGGGGAGTCCCGTGGATTCTTGGTTCACTTCTCTATAAGCGAAGAGGAAGTGGGGGAGGTACCATTCCCAATCCATATGTTGGATTTCCGGAGCATTTGTTTGAGGGTCCCACTGAACCTCCCACAAAGCCTGTTAGTCTGCGGATGATAAGGGGTGATTAGTAGGGATTTGACTACGCAGAGGGTCCAGACCTGGTTCAGGAGAACCAAAGTGAATTGGGTCCCTTGATTTGATAGACTCTTTTGGGGAAAGCCTACTGTAGCGGAGCTCCCTGTACGCCGGCTGGGTACCTCCGAGCTGGAACAATGGACAAACCGCAGCTCTAGTCCTTACAAGGACTTTCCCTGTTGAATCCCCTGCAAGCTGGAACAGCAGACATGGGAGTAAATCTAACAGTTTTGGAGTGTAAGCTGGACTAGCATTTTAATGGAGGCACACTGGCCTTTTATGCAAGTTTCCCAACAAGGGTGACACCCAAGTGGACCTTGTTGGGCACAGGGATACTGTGACGAAGTGCCCTTCTCCACTTGGTCCTGGAGAGGCCTGCTTGCCTATGACTCTTTCATGTATTTGGCTTTAAAAGCCCCTAGTCTACCTTCAGACAGACTATTTATGTAGGGTGCTTTATTTATCTTATGTTTTAGTCACCCTGTACCCATTATAGGTGCAGGGTGTGTGTAATGTAATTGTTTATAGTGTGTGTGTGTGTGTGTGTGTGTGTGTACTGTGAAATGTATTGCCTGCTCTCCTGTACTGCTGAGGTTTGCTACCAACTAGGTGGGTTTGGCTATGGAGCTTGTCTAGTGCCCTCTCTTGGTAGCAACAGCAATATGCACTACCTGAATTGCAAGACTGGTTCATTTGCATATTTGGGTAGATTTGCATATTGCTAATTCTGCAGGCAGGTGAGATATTTACTGTTAAATATTGTCTCCCCCATCCCTTTAAATATGTGCCATTGTGTTGTGGTAAGTCACTGTGTGTTGCCTGCTATGGTTTGACTGTTTGTGATTTTATTGAGGTTTCACAACAGTGTTATTGTGGTGACCCTATCAGCTGGTCCCAAGGGAAATAAAAGTTTAGACAGTTCTTCTTGATCCCTCTAAACGTAGCCTTGTCTCGTTATTGAAGGGAGCTGTTATAATCACACTGGGGATTGCTATGTTCTGCATACTCCCCTGAGCTTGAATCACTTAGCTCTTTTAAGAGCTTGTTCCTGACACGCTCTCCTAGGAGGAGAGGTCTTCACCACACAGTCCTGGATGCTGGAGGTTCATACAGGGTGGAAGGAAGAGGTCTTTCCCATACGGTCCTGGAGGACAGAAGCTGATCCGGGGTGGAAGGAAGACGGCGAGACTCCAATCAAGCTACAGCGGTTGCGGAGTCTGCGGTGGTTGTGGTGTCTGCTGCAGTGCTTGGAGTCCTCAGGAAGTGCTAGGAGCATCCTTCAACGGAGGTACCCAGTCGGGGTGCCAGGTGATCCGTTACATTGGTGGCAGCGGTGGGATGGTGTCCTAGTGCGAGGTAAAGCAGCTCAGAGACACCGTTCGTGGAGTTACAAATTGAGGGCAATGCTAGCACTTGTGCAGCGCCCCTGGGAGCAGAGGTATCCAGCGACTTGGAGCAGACAAATATGGAAGGCTCTGGCGATGATTGGATGGCCGAGGTGAGGCAGCGAGTGGCCCAGTATGGGGATGATTTACCCATGGAGGTACGCCGGGTTATCTGGAACCAGGTCACGGCCGAGCGAAAAACAATGCTGGCCCGAGAATTCTGGCTGGCGAAAGAAAGAGAGTATGCTCAGTGGAAGGAGTGTTACAGCAGCCGAGTAGAGGCTGCATCCGAGGAGGCTAGCCGTCTTCCCCTGAGGCGGCCGCAGGAACCCGAAGTAGGGGTCC